ATTGGGTACCCAAAAGTCGATATTTTAATCAGCCCTCATTCACAATGGGTGGAGGGTGGCAAGATTAGGGTGAAGATGACATAAGTCGTGTCATCAGCAAAGAGAAGGGTTTCAGGTGTTGGGGTACGTTTGGAATTTTTTTGAGGAAGAGCAGGGGGCCAAGGACCCTTCCCTGCACCAATTTTTCATAGTTTTGGGCCGGGGGTTGGGGCGTGTGAAATTTCTCATTTTTATAATTTGTTCATGATTGTACCAGTTAAAAAGTAAAAAAATTTTTTACATGATTCATTACTTTTTACCCGTTCAGCTATCAAAAAATTTTGGGTCCGTCCTGGGCCATTATGTACCTTTAATGTTAGGGACAGTCCCTGGACCCTTATTACCTCTGTAAACTATAAATACCTTTGTAACTTGTCATGACTGGACCAATCTCCTGGAGTCATTACCTTTGTAATTTGCTCAGCTATCATAACTTTGGGGTCCAGTCACTTGACCCATTATGTACCGTGTAATTTTTGACTACCACCCCACAGGTGGAAATGTGGGCAAAAAAAACATTTTTAAACAACCTCTCAAACCATGTCATTCTCATATACAAAAAAACCGCCCCGGACAACAGGAAAACAAAAAATTCGTGTGAGCTTTTTTTAAACCCGAAATGGTCCCTCTTCATACGGAAAAAAGTGTTATAACTTAAAATTATCGCACCCATCAAAGGGGGACAAAAAGATACAAAACATCCGGCCATGGAAAACCGGGTAACCACAGCCCCCAAAGAGGGAGAGTTTTTTTTTTAGTGCCGGGAAGAAAAAAAAATGGCGGAAATGGCAAAAAATCGTACCCCAAAAATCCAGTCTTTCCGGAGTGAACCACAGCGGTGGCCTCCACCCAAACCAAGAGATACAAATATTAGGGGCAGGAAAAAAAAGGTCCCCCCCCCAGTCCCCCCAAATACCACCAGGCCAAATGACATTTTTCTTTGCAAATATACAGGTCTAAAGCCAGCAACAAACAACAAAATATTTTCACCCGTGGACGTTTGCTGGGCAAAGGCAAGTTCGCGTTTTCACTGAGACCCACAAAAGGCACTTGGACAACGAAAATGGATCCCAGGTTATAACCTATACAGATTACAAGTGAACAGGCAAAAGGAAGGGGGTTGGGCCCGTATATCGCAGGTCACTTATTTGCACAGAATGCTTAAGCTTTAAATGATGTTGGAATTTTAGCAGTAAAAATCGAGAACCAAAACCTATCATTTTGGTAGTCTACAAGCCCCCGGATGCAGCTCCCAACAAATTCCAGGAACAGCTTTTAAAATTTCCACTGTCTGGAAAATCTTCCCGCTCGCCCCAAAACTTGTCCCGGGGGATTTCAACTTTAAGGCACCTAAAAAAGGAGGAAAATAGCAAATATATTTTTGCAGTATAACCCAGGAGGCACCTATGAAAACTCACAACCCCGCGACTTTTAATCTCTGCACAAAATTCAAATTTTAAAACCCGCAAAAAAATGAGCCTACAGAGGAAATACACTAGGGCCTCATCTTTACAACAAAGATGATCATACAAAAGTCACCATATCAAAAAGAATATACAAGTATCAGCACAACATAATCCCGGTTCAGACATGTATGCCGGGCCCCAGACCGCAAAATGAATTAGTCACGGGGAGCCTTCACCAAAAAAACAACTTTAAAAACAAAACATAAAGTGGGACCAAGTAAACAGTCCAAACGATATAACTGGGAAGTATACAAAGAACACAGACCCCAACTTATGCCAAACAATTAACCTTTTTGGGACTCGTGTATGCCAAGGCTTATTTCCCTTAAAAAAAAAGGAGGGAGATGTAAAAAGAAAAAGACAGGGGCCCCCCCTTTACAGCGACGGAAAAGAAAACAGAGAGGCTAAAAGAGGCCAATTATCTGAAATGCGTAAGAAGCACGGGCAGAGAAATAGCAAACTCGAACAAAAGCAAAGGAATTTTATGGGGGTCAGGAACGGGGGAAAGAATAAAAAGCCCTAAATGAAATCGAAAAAACCCAAAGTATTTTTTTTCCATGCCAAATCAAAAGTCGAGAACAAAATCCAGTATTTGGGCCCTACTTTTAAAAAATGGGGGGACACAGATGACAGCAAGGAAAGATGAGCTTCTCAAATCCCAATTACCAGTTTTTGAAGCCGCTAACCAGACTAAGTCGAAGATTAAAATTTTTTTTTACGAGAGAGCCACGAATTTTGGGAAGCACAAGCCTATTGATGTTTTCCTGACGCCAAAAACTTCGAACAGGCGATTAAAGAATGCCCCTGCAATCTCCCCGGGGACCAGACTCAGGAACCTGTTTATCAAGAACTGCAAGAACCCCATCACGTCGTCCCACAGTTACTAAAAACAACAGACATAGCCCCACTCCACAAAGGGGGCAGTAAAGCAATAGCAAAGAACTACAGACCGATAGCACTAATATCCCGTGTCATAAAAATCTTCAAGCAGGCACTGGACAAGCACCTAAAGTCGGTACCTGACCATCCGGGCTGTGGCTGTACGTTTGGGTTGCGGCACCCAGTAACAGCCTTGTTGATCAGGCTCTGATTCGCCATGAGGCTTGGTCACAGACTGGGCTGCGGGGGCGTTGAGACCCGTAACCCGTAATCACTCGTTGCTTCCTTCCTGTCTGGTTTTCCCTGATCCTTTGCAGTTCCTTTCCTGCTCCTCTAGCTTGTGTACCAGCTTGTTGTGTGTTTGTGTTGTGTGGTTGTGTGTGTTGTGGGGGTTGTGTGTGTGTGTGTGTGTGTGTGGTGTGGTTTCTCACCTAGTGTTTTTCCACCTAGTTTAGGTTGCGGGGGGCGATCCCAGCTCCTGGCCCCCCCCTCTTCAGATCGCTACTAGGCACTCCCCTGACCGGAGCTTTTCAAATCTCTGCTTAAAGCTATGTATGGACCGCCCCACTACTCGCTTTCCCAAAAATTCCACTTACTGACTACTCTGTGGCTGAAGAAATACTTTTAACATCCCTGTGATTTACGTGTCTTTAGCTTCCAAAGTGTCCCCTTGTTACTGTGTCCAATCTCTGGAACATCCTTTCTTTGCCCTTTTTCTTCCCCTCAGTATTTTGTATGTCGTTTCAGAGTGGGTTTTTCCAAAACGCACCCTTCCGGAAAAAGGGCCCCTTTTTACGGGGAGGAACTTCCGGGTTTTGGCCTTTCCCCGAGGCCACCCTTCCGGTCTAGGGGCCTTTTCCCCTGAGCGGGTATTCGGTCTAGGACCAGCAGCTGGGGGGGTCACCTTTTTCCACCAGGTGTTACTTCCGGTTTTTACCATGACCTCGCCCTCGAGACTACCCACCCTTTACCCCCCCAAAAAAATACCCCGCCCACGACCCCCCCCCCCTTTGCGACCCCCCCGTCGCGCCCGCGCCCCGCGCCCCCCCGCGCCTTCGCCCCCCCCCGCCGTGCGCCCCCCGTGCGCCCCGCCCGCGCCCTTCGCGACCCCCCCGCGCGCCCCCCCCGCGCCCTTCGCGCCCCCCCCCCCCCCCCGCCTTCTGCTGCCCTTTTGCAGCTCATTGTCGCCCCCGCGCCCCCGAATTTTTTTCCGATTTTTTTCGAATTTTTTTTTTAATTTTTTATTTTCTTGTGTCTTCATCTCCTCAGATCAAATTTTTTAGGTTTCCCCCCCCCCCACATTCACCCCACCCCAAAATTTCTCGATATTACCAAATTTTTGGATTCCCCCCTAGGGGGGTTTTGAAAGTCTCCATCTCCCCGGATCAAGTTTTTTTTTTTCCCCCCTAAGGGGTTTTTGAAATTCTCCTTTTCCTTGGGATCAAGGTTTTTTTTTGGGGGACCCCTCCTTTTCACCCCCCACCCCAAAAAATTTCTCAATATCAAAGTCTCCATTCCTCGGGTCCCCATCCCCCCTTTCACCCCCCCCAACCCCCCAAAATTTTCTCGACAATAAATTTTTTTGGGTTCCCCCCCCATGGGGGTTTCGAAATTCCCATCTCCCGATCGAGTTTTTGGATCCCCCCCCAGGGGGTTTTTGAAATTCTCATCTCCTCGGATCAAATTTTCTCGACAATACCATGACTCCCTCTCCTCGGATCAAGTTTTTTTGGGTCCCCCCCCATGGGGGTTTTTGAAGATCAAGTTTTTTTTCGAAATCAAAACTCCATCTCCTTGGATCAAATTTTTGGATTACCCCTCTACTTTCACTCCCACCCCCCCAAAATTTTTTCGATAATACCAAAACTCCATCTCCTCAGATCAAATTTTTTTGGTTCCCCCCCCCACTTTCACCCCCAATCCCCCAAAAATTTCTCATATCAAAGTCTCCCCTTCCTCGGATCCCCCTCTCAAAATTTCAAAACCCCCCTCCCAAATTTCCGTATTACCAAGTTTTTTGGATTCCACCCTAGGGGGTTTCGAAAGTTTCCATCTCCTCGGATCAATTTTTCGA